CAATAAAAAAATTTTTAATTATAGAAAATAAAATATTATAAGTTATAAATGTTTTTAGCAATATACTATATATAAAGTTTATTTATATTTTAGATAAATTTTTCTCTTTTTTTGTAAAAAATATTTTATAAAAAAAAACTGGTTATTATTTTTTTTTAAACTAATTAATTTTTTTAATTATTTTTTTAATTTGTTACAAAAAACTATATAAAACAAATATATTTACTAAATATTCTAATACAAGATGTATTTTAAGTTTTTATTATTTACTTTTTAACTATTTAGTAAAACAATAAAAGCATTCTGTTGAAAAATCTTCAAACAACTAGTTTTTTTAATTAAAATACTTCTAAATAGATGATAAGGTTCATTTTTAAAATTTATTTAATTTAATCAATTTGATCTAGAAATATATTTAAAAATTATTAAAGAACTTAATAAGTTTTCTCCTTCAATAAAAAAGTACAGTAAAGTTTTGGATATTTCAAGTTTTTACTTATTATCTTGTAATATATTTTTTTTATTTTTTTGATTAATTTTTATATAAAATAAAAAATCAAGAATATATATAAAAGAATTTATATATTTTTTTAAATTTACTAATTTTAAATAAAAATTATTTAAAAAATTATATAATTGTATAATAAGATAACATAAATCAATAAGATATTTTTAAAAAATTTATAATGCAATTTTTTATTTTTTTGATATTTTAAAAGAAAAACTAAATAATAACTAAATTTTTATAATCTAAACTAATCCTTTATACTAGCATTGTATTTGATCAACTCAAATATTTTTTATAAATAAAGTTTTATTAAAAATTTAAAATTTTTTTATTTAGTAGTATTAAAGTATTAAAATAAATAACCAAATATAAAATTAAGTTTAAAAAAAAAATTTTGTTAATTTTACTCAAAATAAGGTTTATTTAAATATAAATTTATTTAAACTTAATTTATTATATTATATTACTATACATATTTTTAACATTAATATTTTAATAAATATACATTATTTTGCAACTTATTATTATTTTTTATTATTTACTAATTCTATAATTATATATTATCACATTTTGTAAAATTTATTCTATTATAATTTTTTTCAATTTAATTGTTATTATATAAAGATTATATGCTTTATTTTTAATAAATTTATATACAATTATATATAATTCTAATTTGGTAATTAACTATTGTAATTCTGAAAATTAACAAGTCTGTTACTAAATCAATTCAACTCTTACATAATCTATAATAGCTAAATCAAAATAGACATATTAGATTTGACTGGTAGTTTATCTATAAATAAATGCTTATTTTTTCTTTTTGTATCTTTCTTTCAACCTTTTCTCTTACTAATCTAGTCTTTTCTTGTCTACCTTAACTAGGATTACTCTATGTTGAATTGGGGTTGAGACTTTTCTATTACATTATCAGTCTTATCACATAACTTGCAATGAGTGATTAATGACAGGTTTAGTGGTTTATAAATAAATAAACAATATGAACAATAGTAAATTAATAATAGTTTATTAGTTTATTATAGTACTAATGTTTTATTATGGATTAGATATTTATTAGTACTAAAGGTTTTATTCATATAAGAGATAATTTTTCTTTTTTCTCTAGACAGAAATACCTTTTATTTATAATAAATGTCTTATTTATCTTTATAATTAATTTATGTTATAAATGCCAGATATTCCTTATATCTAATATATTAGCCAAATATAATAAAAACTGATATGTTATTTAATACATATGTGGCTGAAGTAGCAGAAGTAACATAAGTATCATAAGTACTATAAGTAACATTTCAGTTACTTTTCATATAATCTTGGATTAGGTAATAATTGTCATCCTGATTCAGACACCCATGACACCAAAAATCAGGCTCATACTATATTGTTTAATAATATAACTAATATATTATTATAACTAGAAAAAGTTTTTATATTTTCTAATTAGATTTAACTTAATGCCATAAACATTAAATACAAAAACTATGATTTACTTCAATACTTAAAGATAAGAAAATATTATTCTTTTTTTTTAAATTTTATATTATATAACAAAACCTAAAATTTGACTTTTATTATAATAATATAAAATGAATTCATTTTTTACTTCAATTACTAGATTTACATAATTATAACACAAATGAATTCATCTTCTGCTCCTTTTATTCAATTCACACAATTAACATTAAAAATATTATAACTAGAGAGAGCTTCTATATCTTTCAATCAGATTTAACTCAGTACTGCAAGCATTAAATACAAAAACTGTGATTTATTTCAATACTCAAAGACAAGAGAAAATATTACTCTTTACAACTAGTACAAGAAAGAAACCTTTTTCATACTAAAATTAGGATCTAATTAATTATTATGCTATCAGACTTTAACTATAAAATGATCATTAAAGTATAGATTTGACTATTATCTAAATATAAGCTAAACAATTATAAAGTTATATATAAAAAATTTAATATTAAAAATTACATCATTTTTTTGTAACACACCTACTCTAAATCAATTGATTAATAACACATTTTATTAGTGGTGTCATTTATACTGCAAGAGATCCTGTTTAATAACTAATCAAGTTTCGTCATAGGTTTCGTCAATCGTCATAGATTTCATCAATCGTCAATTCGTCAAGTAAAAGTCCTTTGACGAAATGGTTTCGTCATTCGTCAGGCATTATTAGAAAATGATTGTTAATAATATTGTTAATGAACTACTTACATATATATGATACTTAATGAAATGTTAAAGAGAAAAAAATAACAATTTAATAATAAATTTATTTAAAATTCAAATTAAAAACTTTATGTTTATTTACATGAATAATATTAATATATAGATAAGCGATTCTAAAAGAAAACATTTAAGCTTTGAATATCAAGACTGAGTATATTTAATTATAAATTCTAAAGCCTGAATTCTAGCTTTCCTTTAATAGTAATTAAATACAAACAAATGGTTACCGTTTTGTTTATTACTTTGTACATTTTTCATGTGAGCTACGCGCCAATTATTTTCATTAAATGTTTGAATTCTAATTTTCTTTTAATAGTATTTGAATACAAACTTAATAGCTACGCAAAATATTTCATACACCAACATTTTCTTAGTCTTTCCAAAGTATTAGAGGATTTGATCTTTGATGAGTTTCGACCCTCTCTGAGGTTTTGCCTTCTGCTAGGAGTTTCGCCAGTTTTGCCAGGTTTCGACGAGTTTCGACAGTTTCGTCGGGGAGTTTCGTCTTTCGTCATTTGCCCAAATGGTTTCGCCTAACAACGCTAGTCAGAATCGTGATCTTTTTGGTGATAATGCCTTATATGATAGTACAGTTTGTGTGGTGTAATGAATAACTTTTTCCTGCATCTCCCACTTCCTTATTTGTCTAATTCATTAAGTTGTACATACCTTCTATAAATATATCTCCATAGCCATGGTAATCGTAACTTTCTAGTATTAGGCATTCTTATGTATTAATAGTGACTAATCCATGTGAATTCCCTCCGAGGGCGTAAACGCAGCTACTGGAGCGTATACGCTCTTGCATAAACTTTATACCTGTGAAAAAGCATGTGTGATTCAAAGTTATAGCATAGATGTTTTAATATTAGCGTAAACCTTATAAGAAAATGAGAATGTATTTAAAGAGTTGTTCTTGCCCTTAGTTCATCATGCTCTCTGAAAACGTCCCTAAATAAATACATATCTACATTCTTTTATATATTAATGACTACTAATTATATAAAATCCGAGTTCTCTATTTTATCTTTATGTTCCCATATCTCTTTTACGTCAACCATCAGAGTTAAACTTGGCATGATTGTCAGAAGCTCATCCATTCGATGGTGACAGTGGATAGCCAAACCCATAAAAATCTGGCACGGAAGAAGCATGTAATTCAATCACTTCACTGAAATTTATATGGAACTGCACTAAATTAAAAAATGAAATAATTTAAACACGTAATCAGACGTAATTTTTAGAAAAAAATACACAAAAGGCACTTGAAAGTAGTTAAAAATATGGTACTATACGAAAAGTATATGTGCCAATACGTAAAAAAATACACAAAAACATGTAAATAATAGATGAAAATGCACGTCAATACGTGCAGGAGCCTTTTTACGTGCTATTCAGTGCACTTTTACGTGCTGTTCAGTGCACTTTCCCGTGTATATTTACTGCAATTTCGTGTTGTCTCGTATTTAAAATTTCTTGCACCTGTGCAGTGATTTATTACAGGGCAAGCAAGTGATTTTGACTAAAGAAAATCCCAAAGCACACGGTGGTCCAGTAAAATATATGCAAGTTGATATAAAACTTTAATTATTTCGGGATCCCGTGATTAGATTTTACCAATTTTGGGTTTGTTAGATTTTGTTTCATTAGAATGAATAATTTCGCAAGTAAATTGTCTAAAACTGAGCAAAACGGAATCAAACGATCAGTAGTTATTCTCTGCTAAAGATTTTCTATGGAATGGACTGTCTGTAAACTAATGTTTTAAAATAATCTTGGCTATAGATTAATTGTCTATGGGATAAAATGTCTGTGAAATAATTTTCTGTAAAGTGATACATAACTTAAATAATTGTTCTACAGTATCCCGTAATTCAGTAAATTTGATCAATCAAACTTTAAGTTATAAAAAAAAACTCGAATAGCAAAATTCACATTCTATTGCTGATTAAGAATGTTCTTTGTGAAATTTACTAATTAGCAATAACTTTAATATAACTCAATTTTATTAACTTTAATTCCGCATGATCCTATAAAATTTTAAAAATGATCGATATCATTATATCTATGACAAGTATATATTTTTATAAATCAACCACAATTATAATTAATAATAATCAATATAATCATTATATATAACAATGACTGATAAACTAGTATCTATATATAAATTAAAGCCTTTATAATTTAAAATAATAAATTACATGAAAAAGTAACAATTAAAAGCATATTAACATCCACCACTTTTGCAAAATAGATCTCTCTCAGCTTTACGGCGTCTTACTAGACCATTAAGTACTTTGTTTCCAGCTATGTTAAATAAAGCAAATTCATTAGCGGCACCTTTTATATCACCAGCATTAAGTTTTTTGCGTAAAGAAGAATTTTCATAAGCATCACATCCAAGATCAAATGTAAAACAGACTAAAGCAGAAAATTGGTTTGAATTTATATTAATAGTTGTAAGTCTTTTAACGCAATCCTCTTGAGGAATCATATCATTCTGAAGTAAAATTTCTCCTTGCGCAGGAGAGATTGGAGTATGAATATTATTACAATTAGTTGGATCAGCATGGCAAACATGACCATAACCTATAGTCCTATAACCCTGAAAATTGTAAAAATTTAATATTTTATTAATTAAATTTTATTAATTAGAAGTCAAAAAATAATTAATAAAAATAGGAATAACTTAAACTTACTGCTGGATCACTATAAAAATTAGGCCTAAATTCTTCAAAACCTTTTAGAAGGTTTAAACCTTCATCATTAATTTTATCATTATTGGTTGGGGTAGAAAGAGGATTCGCAAAAGGACTATCGCAGCGTGGAATACCAGCAGCACCATTTACATATGCATTAAGACAATAGGTGCCATCTGCTAATTTGTTCCAAGTGTTTTTGCCGTCGATAGTGTCACCAATAATTTGGCAGATAACATCGACATTAGAACCTTTTGGAGCTACATGAAGAATCTTGGAATTTACAGATGGTTTTTCGTGAATATTAAGATTTGCATTTGTACCGCATGACTTTGCGTCCGCATTTATTGTGAAGATGGTTATAATGGCAACAGCAACAGGCAGTAATTTAGTTGCAAGCATGATTACAAAGGATTTTAAAAAGAGGTTTAAATATTGAAGGATTTGAGGTGTTAGATTAAAGGTTTAGAAGATTTATGATGTTATAGGGTTAAAAGGATAAATGAGAGAGAAATGTAAAAGTTCAAAGCACAGTTAATGAAAACGCATTTTACACCTTAATTTATATATTTTTTATTTTCTTTATGTTCATCAGTTTGATCATTTTAGGAAGTTTAGGATTTTTGCAAATTATGATTTAATTTAATGTTTGATATTAAATTTGGTTGTATTATGATGCCAGCGTTAGTTGCTGGTTTGCTTTTTTTTTAGTTAATATTTTAAAAAAACCATCCGAAAATTCTTTAAGTGTACAAACAATACTTTTGTATAATTTTATGTTTTGCAATGAACTAAACATTTGTAGCAATTTGTATAGTCAATTACAATTTTATATTTATTTATTTTTCTGCATAAAAATTAATCAATATAATTCCAACTAGAATAGAGATTGTTCTTCTTTGTCTATATAATTTCATTGTTAATTGAATGTCAACACAAACTTTTGAAAAAAAACCATGCCTAAGTAATAATACATGCATATACGATTATTGATTCTCATATGTGTTTATCCATCTTTATCTGATATATAATTTATTATTTACAACAAATTGTTTTAATATATTGTAATTAAAAAAACAAGGAGAAAAAAAATCGAATATTAATTATTAATAATAATATACTCTATCATGGATTAATAATTACTGTACCTAACTACATATTAACTCACCCTAATCTTAGAACTCGAAAAAATTTATTCTTCGAATTGTTAGAGTATATTCTTTGTTCTACAATTTTGGCATTTATTTGCTTAAAACAACAAAGATAATAATTAATAACGTTAAATGCATACTGTTACTATTGCAAATCGGGAGAGTGGATAACCTTGCACAGTTCAGTTCCAATAGTTAATGGGAGTACTTGGTCTGATAATATATTTACTATTAGGAAAAGTAATATCGGTAGGATTCTATAAACTATTCATGGTCAGGTCAACGATAGTTGATCGAAAGGGGGTAGTAGTTTAAGGATTCAGGAATGATTTAATTAAGAGTGGCTTTAATCTTAATTATTGTGATCTAAATAAATGATGTGACCTAAATAAATGATGTAATTTAATCACCAAGTAATTGATTGATCTAATTAATATTCCTATATGTGGTCCTTTGTAAGCGTAATATATGATGGAAACTATATAATATACGGCTCCTATTTATTCAGGGAAAGTGTCACGGACTGGATATCAGGAACGCAGATGAAAGAAATGCGACGAATTGTCACTACGGAATCGTTGATGTTGTGTAACATTGCTCAAAAGCGAGAATGAGGCGGTTACGATTTGGCACCGGTTAATATTAAGGCGGCTTTTGAGAGCATAACCATTGTGAGCCCTGAAATTCGTCCTACGTTATCACGGTGTGAGCCGTGAAACGTGATCTCGGAAGCACGTGAAAGGAGGTGATCGAGGTGGCGCAGTAATAACTAACGGCTATGTCGATCACCTATCTAATATGGGCTTCCCGGGATTATCGCTCTTAAAAGTCGTTTAGCGATTATAAGGGTAATAGCGGTGATAAGGGTTTTAAGGAAGAACTATAAGTAAAGGGATATACGATACATCGGGGATTTAAGTAATACAGGACATTAATAATATATATGTTAAATAATAAGTTTAGTATGTTTAATAGTTGTAGGAGCGCATATGTAATATAACAGTATATAATAAAGGCTTCGTGCCCTACATGATGAGTAGTTTTCGTGCTTTCAATACATTTTGACTCAAATACTTTCCTGCTTTCGCGACATTATATTATAAAAACCTACGATCATAAACACACCACTCGCCAAATCTAACCGCCTCTTATCGACTAAGCCATTCGTAGGTTACACGACGTATCCATTTGTCAAGCGACTGACTCGCCGTTTCGCCCGTGTCAACGGTTACCCGTGACCGATCGTCAAAATTAGGTTACGCCCCTTACCCGAGTAATTAGTCACATGAAAAGTAAGATTTATCTTACTTTTCTTACTTTTATTACTTTTATTCCATTTATTACTTCGGGTGGATAGACGGCATATAGAATGTCCGTTTCTTTGTTATGATAGTTGAAATAGGGGGTTTAACAACTATATATAGTTGGCGGTAGAATTAATTTTGAAAATTATCGAATTACGGCACGTGCCGTATTTTTTGCCGTAATTGCCGCAATTATAAATACGGAACCAAAATTAAGCATATCGACCAAAAGCCTGGATCGGAATTCATCGGAAACAGGTCGTAATAAGTAATGCTGAAACGTTCCGATGTATACCGATCCAGAATTTTGGTCGATTTTCCGAATTTTGGCTCCTCCACATAATTACGGCAATTAGATGCTATGCCGTAATTAATTCTACCATATGGTAGGATGCCGTAATGCCGTAATTCAGTAATTCTACCACCAACTATACAACTATATAGTGTAAATAGATAATGTAGAGGAAATTAACCTCGAATGTAAACAATACTTTTATTATAAATAAAGGACTTTACGCCCAGGGGGAAAGTAACAAGTATGGGCGATACCCCCAAGTAAATACATTTTCGCATAATAAACTTAAGTATCGGGCCCATATTAAAAGTTAATCTATAATCCAACACAAACTGAAAACTATCGTTAAACCCCTCGTTATCCATATCGTTCATTTGTAAATCACTAAACCGCATTTTGATCGTTCGCCGTAAGTCACATGACCAAGCCGTTAACGCAAGGGAAGGATCCAACCCGATTCGACGTATCGTAACCCCGCGTTAAGGAAGAAAAGAGAGGACAAGAGAAGGCAAGGGTTAATAGAAGAATAGGCTAAAGGAAGGACTTAGAAGAGAAGAGTAGTACTTACCTACGGATAAACCACCCAGCCAAATCTAACACACCTATTTCGACTTAGCAGCCGTAGGTAACACGAGAATTAGCGACAGACTCGCCGAATTGCCGCGCAACACCATATAAGAACAGAAATTTTTTAAAGAGCGTCTTATTTATATATGAAAGGGGTCTTTATTAATAACTTTATTATTAGGAAAATTCCACCTCTTTTATAACAAATTCTATCATACGAGAGGTACATACAAGATCTTAACCTCTTTCTATTATTCTCATCGAATTCCCATCTTGTTTCACCTTTTTTGTACTAACTTTTACTCTTTCATACACAGCTTTTCGTTACTTTAGCATTTATCACGATCAAAATAGCACAAAAGAGAAATGTTTCAGTGTCACTTTTTCCGTATAAAATGCTAACATTGTGTGAGGCATAACGTGACGTAAATACTCTGCCGGGACCTCACGTGAGAGCGGGTATGGCGATCAAATCCTCGATATGGATATCCCGGCAATTAATCGCATTAATGCGATTAATTAAATAAATCAAGGAAGTGGGATTAATTAGAGAAAGGGGATTAATTAGAGAAAGGGGATTAATTAGAGAAAGGGGATTAATTAGAGAAGGGGGATTTATTAAGTAAATGGGTTTAAGTGAATAAATTAGAGGAATGAGATTAATGTAAT